CAGCTCACTTCCCCTTGACCCATGTTGATCTCAGCTCACTCCCTTCTGACATAAATAAAATTAAACCACAAGGAAGATAAATGATGTCCACCTGCAATGATGTCCACCTGCAATCTGGCTGTGATTGCTGTTCACAATCACTCTCCCTGAAAGATCCTACAAAGTCTCCTGCCCCCCTTTATCCAGTGCTGTCTTGGTCCGCTACACAGCCAGCCTGCTTGATGCCCCCAATAAATCTTATACCTGTGTCAGAATGCCTGGTCTGGTTGATTGTGTGGGTTCATGCATAATAACTGGCACATGAGGGAAGATGAATGTGGATAGACAGGACAGGCAGTCAGAAAGGATTCTGTGGAGGACTTGATGGCCATGGACAGGGAACTGGAGATTCAACAAGCAAAAATGGCACATTGGACTAGTGAGACTTTCTTGCACAGGAATAAGATATTCAGATCTCTCTGAAGAACATCTTTATTGTGCCTGAAGTCACAATTTGAATCACAACTTCCCATAGCTCACTTCTAAGTCAAACTTTCCTACTTTTAACCCCAGAAGTGGACATCAATTTGGCTGATATGTGGTCATTTTCATGTATAAAAACCCCTAGACAATGAGTTCCTTTAGCAAGCCATTCAAGTCCCCTCCCAGGTTCATTCACCTGGGCTTTTTGCTTTTGCTTTACTTTAAATGCTATTTCCTGCTTTCATTCTACAATAAAAACTTTTGTTCAATCCTCTTTTGACTCTCTCCCTTGCAACTCTTGCTCAGGTTAGGGAAGAACACACCAGCACGACAGCAATAATGCTGATCTTAGCTAGCGGGACTCCATGACTGAGATACCAGGGTCAGTGTTATTTCAAGGAACATGAGTGTCTCTCTTTCTGGACACTATGGGGACTGATCATTAATAAAATGACCCCTAGTGCAAGACACCTCCAAAGGATAGTGATATAGGGGAATGAAATTCCCAACCTGGAAGATACCTGGGCCAAGTTCATGTTCTCTAAAACTGAAAAATGAATTTTAGGAACAATGGAGGTCAAGAGCAAAATATATTTATTGGGGAAAAGGAAGCTTCTGTCCAAGAGAAGGAAAGAAGGGGGTTGCCCAGCAATCCGTCTTTTCTAGGGATTTTTATAGAGCAAAAGCATGAGGTGGGACAGGTCTAAGGTGGGAACAGAGGAACTCACACACGAGGTGGGACAAAATTATGGTCAACAAATAAGATTACAAGCACAACTGCTCAAGTAAATTGATTAAATTCAGGACCAAATGGGAAAGTGAGTTATGCAGTAAACAGGCATAAATATAGAACAGAGGTTAATCCATAGGGTTTGGATTAGTGACTCTTTCTGGCTTCTCTAGGTGATGATCAACCCACCATCTTTGTTCTTCCCAACCAAGGATACTAGCTCCAGAAACAATACTGTTTAATACTGCAAATGAACTAAACCTATTCACAGACAAACAAAATCATGAGCACAAGTAAATTCCTATATGAACAAAATAAAAATGCTTATCTTTAGGGAGGTAAGCATTCATTTACCCATTTGTCTTGAGGTCTGGCCCACAGCCAAAGTGTCTGTCTCTCCACAGTTGCAAGGTCTTGTCTTCTATATTGTCTCCTTGAGTACCTTCCCCTGTCTGACTGCCTATAATATTTCTGTCTAATTCAATTGCCTGCAACACTAGGTTAATATAAAACTTCCCTCTTTAAGATGGCTTAGATGGCTATAAAAGAGTAAAGGTGGGGCCAGAAATTTTCTATGAGGACAAGAAGCACTGCATTTAGACCTTAGTTGGGCCCTATTAACTAGCTGTCTAAGAGCTTAAGTTCTGAAAATATTCAGATAACAAAAGATAAACCTAAGGCCTAAGAAGTTTAGAAAACTAGACACAAGATACTTCAATAAAGTCAGTGTCCTCAGCTGGTGAGATAGCTCAGCAGACTAAGTGCCTGGTTAGGCAAGTTCAGGGACCAGGGTTCAATCGCCAGCACCACATTCTTTGCCAGCCCCACCCCCGGGCATGCTGAGCCATCATTTCCCGGAGTGGTAGAGCATGCCTGTAATCTCAGCACTGGGGAGGTTTCCAAGGAGTGCTCAGAGAAATGGAAGACCATGTTTGCCAAAGAAAAGTAGAAGTTTGAAGATATGGTAAAGTATGATAAATTTTGCTACGACAGGGAGCTGAAAAATTCTGTTCCTCCCAAAGCTGGCAATAAGAGAAGAAAGAAGAAAGATCAGAATGCTCCTAAAAGACCACTGTCTGCCTTTTTTCTGTTGCTTTGAATGTCACCCAAAGATCAAAAATGAACACACGGGCCTGTCCATTGGAGGTACGGCAAAAAAAATTGGGTGAAATGTGGTCTGAACAGTCAGTCAAAGATAAACAACCATATGAACAAAAAGTGGCTAAGCTACAGGAAAAATATGAAAAGGATATTGCTGCATACAGTGCCAAGGGCAAAAGTAAAGCAGGAAAGAAGGGCCCTGATAGGCCAACAGGCTCCAAGAAGAAGAGCGAACCAGAGGATGAGGACGAGGAAGAGGAAGAAGAGGAGGAAGAGGAAGAGGAGGAAGATGAAGAATAAGTGGCTGTCCTATAATGGCAAGTGGAGTGAATGTGTGCTTAGGCAACTGTTTTGCTAAGAATGTGAATTCAAGTGCATCTCAACATTACCTTCAATATAAAAAATGCACAGATCTTTGTATAGCTGATAAAATTCTTTGTTGCAAAAATACTTTTTTAAAAAATTCAGGTTGTACCTTTTTGAGGGGCTACTACACACAGTTATATTTAAAAAAGAAAAAGAAAACAGGACAATCACTACAAGTCCAAGCTGTGTAATAAATACCAAATACAATAAAAAAAAAAAACCCTCAGTGTAATGACCCACTCCTTGAGTGGTAAATAAGAACTAAAACCACCCTTCAAAAAGAGATTGATTCATTTCACTCTTAGCTGATAGTTGAAAGAGAAAATAGTAGGGGAAAATCTCTCTCAAGAGATAAACTCAACCCCTACTTAAGTTTATCTGAATGAGCTGAATGTACAATTTCAGTTGTTCTAGAAACCTGAAGAAACAAACAGGAGGTTTGTTTTCCTCCTGAGAAAACCATTCTGACCACGGACCTCAAGAACTTCAGCATTGGCCAGCAAAGCCTGGGGGTGGGAGATTTATCAAATTCAGAATAGGAAATATATACCTAGTAAAAATAAGAAGACCTTGAATGATTACTGAAGGAACAAGAGACAATTATAATGAAATATGAAAATTTCGGAAAATAAAAAAGCAATTAAATTAATGAGTGAATGGGTTAAATAGCTCTTAAAGCTGAACGGAGTTGATGAATTGGAAAATAAACTTGAAGAAATCACAAAGGAACTAGTAAATAAACAATGAAACAAAAGTATGACCAGGACTCACAGAAGGAAATATGAAAAGGTCTCACATTTATCTACTTGATGCTGTAGAGGACAAAAGAGGGAAAATGAAAGAGAATAAATTTTCATTGACAGATAATTACAACATTCCTATAAGTAAACAAAGACAGATTCTTAGATTCAGAAACTCCAATGAATCTAGACCTCGATGCATACAAATAAAACCACAGAACATCAAAGTCAATCTGCAGTTGCTAAAAGCTAGAGAAAAAAAGGCAATCACCAACAAAGACTGAGAACTGATTCATCAACTACAGCAATGGAAGCTCAGGAAAGAGTGAAACAGCGCCTGCAGTGCCAGCAACAAGTAATTCCCAACCAAGGATACTAGCTCCAGAAACCAGGCTGTTTAACATTGCAAATGAACTACAGATATTCGCAGACAAACAAAACCATGAGCACAAGTAGATTCCTATATGAACAAAATAACAAATACATAAATAATATTTCTGGAAGAAAAAGAATAAAATGACATAAAACTAAGTCAAAAGGTAGGTGAAATAAATCAGACCCACATGTGCAAATATTGTATTGTATCACTAGTGTGAAAACTTGAAAGAGTAAATAAAATCTGAAAGGTACAATGGATACTATGAAAGGGAAAGAATCTGTTCAACTGGAAGAAAAACCTGAGATGAGGAAAAGGATAAAAGAAAAAAGAGAAAAAGATAATTATATTTATGCATATATGAAGGATAGCTTGGATAATTGTACTCCTGATTTCTGCTGGCCTATTGAAAGGAATAGTTAATGCTTGAATTTTTTTTTATTTTCCCATTTTGCATACCATATCTGGTAATCTAACCAACTAATTTGAAGGCAATATTAATAAAATAACAACCATTGTCAATTTCTTATTTTTTTTCAAAATTTTATTGATACACAGATAGCAATGAGACAGTTTCAAATCAAATCGGAAGTACAGATTCAACAAATAACACACTGCATATATTCTTCTTAGTGGTTAATTGCTGTACAAGGTGCGGACTTGAGATCCTATTTACAAACAACATTAGAACAAATCATTCTATTCATTAAGAGAAAGCAACTATATATCTATCCTAAGCACTTTGAATACACAGGTACAAAATGGACATTCATCTGTATACCCCATTTTTTCTAAGTTCCATTATTGAATATTATAGGTGTGTAAACTCAG